TTGTGGGCTGCAGACGCCACAAGATCAGCCGCTTCAGACTTGGTCTTGTGCAGAGCTGCAGCCTTCGCAGCCTTGGCAGCATTTGCTTTCAGAGTCTTCTTCAGAGCCTTCTCTGCCTGCTCCTCCGCCTTGAAGAGCTTCAACTGCTCAGACTGGAGTTGCTGAAGCCAGGCCTTCAGATGACTCATCAGTTCCAGAGCCATCTTGCCTCGCGAGCCCCTCGCACAGGGTCCCTCGCCCCGGACCTTGCTGAGGATCCAGAGCATGTTGGAGAGAACCCAGAAGCCGCAGTCATGTCCCTTCTGAAAGGGACACTCAGAGCGCTCAGGCAGAGCCTGTCCTGGCAGAAGCAGAGACAAAAGCTTGGCAGCATTGGCTGCGCAGGCCGCGTGCTTCTCAGACAGAGAGTCCAGATACTGCACAGAGGGCACGTCGCCTTCGAAAGTCAGCACCAGCAGAGTCCAGTGGGTGGGACCAAGCCCCTGGCCCCAGATGGGAGCGAAGAGCATCTTGCAGTCCGGCAGCTGCTTCTTCAGAACACTCTCCAACAGAGCAGGGTTGGAGTGCTTGCCGGACAGGCAGAGGGTGGTCAGCTTCGGGTCCAGCATCCTCACAGACTGCTCAAGGAAGAAGTTGGCATCGTCAGAGTCAGACAAATGCCACCGCAGCATCTCCCAGCCATAGAGCAGATGCTGGTCCAGCAGCATCTGGGGCTTGTTCTTCAGAAGCTCCACATGCTCAGCAGCATGAGTATCCTCCTCGCCCCAGAGTCGATGACCCCCACAGGCTCGGAGAACAGACTCTTTCAGGGTCCGCTTGAGCGACATCTGCTTCCACTTCTTGACAGGCAGCCAGTCCTTCTCTACCTCACAGACCTGGTCAGCAGAGAGGGTGAGTGTGGCATTGGTCTCGCCCACACCTGAGTTTCATAAGAGCAAGAGAGGTTTAGGGTTTAGGGTTTAATTGTTGATTCCTCCACATGACATCCAAGCAGCCAGTGAGAGTCACAGTGCTCGAGAGCAGGTTGTGGGCAGAGGCCTTGCCAGTCTTGGAGCAGTTGTTGTCCTCAAGCAGCACCCTGCAGACCTTGCCAAAGAGCGGGCCTTTGTCAGCGCCAGGCAGGGTCGCGGCCTGCTCGCCAGCAAACTCGCTGAGAGCCGCTGGCTCGCCTTTCTCAGAAGCTTCGCCAGACTTCTTAAGGTCCTTCAGAGCCTTGAGAGCCGCTTGCCTCTTCATGTTCTGTAGAACCGCTTTGCGAGTGGCAGACGGCTTCTCACCAGCCCTGGGAA